CGGCAGGCCGCTGCACTATTGAGAGGGCTTTGGGTTTACGACTATTGAGGGGACTTTATTATTCTGTGCAGGCGAAGTTTAGCTCAATTGAGGGGGCCTTTCCACAATTGTGTGCAGGCCAAGTTTAGCTCAATTGAGGGGGCCATTACTAATCACGAGCTCACATAAAGCAGGTTGTTAAGAACCCCCATGTTCCTGTCGACAGGGGGCCTCCCGAATTCCAACATAGTCCGAAATGGAGGAAACTCGCCAGCGCACCCAAGCAACTAACATGCAATGTTTATTCTTCCCAGCAGAACCCACGACAGATTTCGGAAGGCCTACCCTATCTAAAGCAAATCGGACAGAGCTGACGCCCTGCTCAGGTAAAACGTGCTGGCCCGGAACACACCACATAGGAGTATTGCTACAGCAATGTCAAGGCAGTAGCGACTTTCAAACGACAACTACTTACTCCGGAGGCTCACCAAGAACCTCCCTAAACCCTAAACCCGTGTACAGAAGACACGCAGCATCCCGATGAAGGCCTTGCAAGGACGAAACAGACAGAAGCCACGGAAAGCCATCTTTGAAAGGCCGCGCACCTGCTAAAGATCCCTGCAAGCAGCTGACAAGACGGATTTAGCCTCATCGTTGCACCAATAACATGTGCCCTCCCCGCCCCCACACCTAGAAGTAAACAAAGGACATGGTAACACATTAAAACAGGCTAAGTCGAATAACAACACGAACATGTACCTACCTGACCAAATAAACCAAAGAACAATTCGCACCATATAGAAGGGCCAGGAAATCAATACACAGCAAATAGATGAATTAATAAGTCCTTAACAATAACATAGAAGACTGAATAACTCGCATGTTCCTCATTTTCCTTGAGGAACCGGAAACCTGTTCAAACATTTAACGCCCCTATATTCCCTAATCTTAAACCCCTGTCCCTAAACCTCATCCCTACTTGAACCCATTAGGCCAGGGAGCTCGTGGTTGCCGCTACCCGCAGCGATGTGAATTGCCTAGTTGCAGGCTCTCAAGTTTCCTGGCTTAATATCGGGGCCTTAATACTTAGACTAGGGCTAGGGGGGGGGGGGGGTATATTATGGTGAAATTATAATGAGGGATCCCCCTCACCAAATCGTATTGGCAATTATTTAGGCCCCTGTGCTAAGCCCAATGCCAAACCATATGGGTCCAAAAGACCCGACAGTGTGGGATCTATAAGGGTTCCCTTTAAGGCTTCCTGTAAGGGATCTATATAGGGGTTCCTTTAAGGCTTCCCTTAAAGGGATCCTTGACGGGCCCAAAGGATCCAATAATTAGGTACTTGGGTTTAGGACAGTTTAAAATAGTAGGTTTAGGGTTTAGGGCTTAGGGTTTAGGGTTGTAGGTTAATATTTATTGTGTACTTGGACCCTCAGGGTAAGCCCGAAACCTATAAACTCCCAACCCTAAGCCGCCCCGGAAAATGTGAGAGTGAAACTATAGTCTTCTGAGGGTGCACAGAGGTTCCAGGACCATTTTGGGGGTAGAAAGTTCCGGGTTGAGGGTGTAGGGCTGTCGGGTTTAGGGTGACAGCAGGGTGCCGGGCTAAGGGTTCAGTGTTCGGGCTGTTTAGCGTTCAGGGTTTAGGGAGGTGTTGGGATGCCTAAACCCTATTGCTTAATAAAACTAACCCAAGGCTTCCAAGGACCTTATAGTTAGGGCCCTAGACCCCTTAAGGACCCAATAATAAGGTCCCTGGAAGCCTAGGGTAACCCAAAATGTCCACATGCTCGGACTTTGAGCCCTTCTACCACAAAAACCCACACAACATGCGGACGGCGGACCCTTATGGAAACTTCTGTCAATGCCTAAACCATAAGCCCTAAACCCTACGGCTAAACCCCTGAAGCCCTAAGCCCTAAAGGCCAA